CCATATATCAGTATGTAGTAAGTATTAAGAACAGTGTCAGGCCTTGAGAGCTAGCTCAGTGGTTAAGAGCACTTGGTGCTCTTACAGAGGACATGGGTTCAATTCCTAGCACTCACGTCAGGCAACTGACAACCATCTATAACTTGGGCTCCCACAAGATCTGATACCTCTGGCCTCATGGGCACCTGCATTCACATGCTCACTTGAACACATTATAAAGCAAACATCAACAACAACAAAAAAACTTTATTAAAAAAAAAAAAAAAAAGAACAGTGCCATCCTTCAGGCTCAGTCTCAGGCTCATTTATGCTGTACTTTTATTGTTGTGTTTCCCCTGGCTTGTCATTGTGACCATTCAGTATGCAAGCTCTATGACTGCTTTCTATTATTAATACATTTATTTAGTGTGTGTGTGTATGTGTGTGTGTGTGCTCACTCTTGTGTGCATGTGTGTGTATGCTTGCATGTTCCTGTTTGAATTTAGAGGTGTCTAAATTCAATTTTGGGTGTCAGTTCTCCCCTTCTGCCATGTAGACTCCGGGGATCACATAGCCGGTCTCTTCAAGTTTGATGGCAAGTACCTTTACCCGCTGAGCCATTGCTTTCACCCAAGTTGCTGTAGGCTGTTCTTTTTCACCGCTGGAGTAGTTTCCCACTGTGGGAGTGCTACAGTTTGTTTACTTATTCACTGGTAAAATATGTTTCCATTTCATTTTTAGCGATTAGAATGGCTGTAAATGTTTTTATATAGGTTTTTGTATAAATATGGTTCTTATTGTCTTGAGGTATCCAGATAGAACAGTTGTTGACCTGGATGTCAGCTGTGCGCATGTCCACGTGTGTCCCTGTGCATGGGTGAGGAGGTGTGCTGTCACTCTCTGTCTGTCCTGAACCTGGTGCTTGTGTTTTCCTGGCTAGGCTGTGAAGCTGCAGCTCCAGGGATCCTCCTGTCTTAGCTTTCTGTGGAGCCGAGGTTATAAGCATGTGCCAGATACCAGGATTGATGTGTATACACTAGGAACCAAACTTGGGCCCTTTGGAAGAACTGCAGGTGCTCTTAATTGCCATGTTGTCTCTCTAGCTCCCCTCCCAACACTTTAAACTCATCTGTTCTTGAGTGTTTGTTAATCTAATCATAGCTTTTAGTTTTATTTCTGTGATAGATATTTTCTTATTGTATTATTATTATTTTCTTTTTGTGACAAGGTTTCTCTGTTATGTAGCCCTGGTTGTCTTGGAACTGGCCTTGAACTCATAGAAATACACCTGTCTCTACCTCCTGACTACTTGTATTAAAGGCATGCAGTACCATGCCTGGCTCTTCTTATTCTATTCTTTTTTTTTTTTTTTCCCAAGACAGGATTTCTCTGTTCTTACTGTGTTTTTAATTATTTGTGTATGTATGTGTCCATATGTGGGTTTGTGCATGTGAGTACAATGTCTGTGGAGGCAGTGGCCTTGCTTCTGTATTCATTACCTATTTATTGGGATGAAAATCATTCCTTTCTCAAGTAGGTGAAGTTGTCACACAGGGTGATACTTAGTTTCTTTAACAATAGTATTGAATTTGTTTTATAATTTAGGGTTTTTGTTTGTCTTTTCAAGACTCTATGTGGGTCAGACTGGCCTTGAACTCATTGAAATCTACCCGCCTCTGCCTCCCAAGTGCTGGAAATCTGCATTTCTTTGTAAAAATTTATTTAGTTTAGTATACATATGAGTGTCTTAATTAGGGTTCCTATTGCTGTGAGGAGACACCATGACCACGCAGCTCTTAAAGGAAAACGTTTAATTGAGGTGGCAGCTCACAGTTTCAGAGGTTTAGTCCATTGTCACCATAGAGAACATGGCAGCATGCATGCAGACATGATGCTGGCTACATCTTTATCAGAAGGCAACAGGAAGTAGACTCAGATACTGGGCAGTATGTTGAGCATAGGAAACCTCAAAGCCCACCCTCACAGTGACACACTTCCTCCAAAAAGGCCATACCTACTCCAATCAAGTCACACCTAATAATGTCGTTCTCTATGAGATGGGAGCCAATTACTCTTAGCTACCATAATGAGTGTTTTGCCTGTAAATATGTAATTGGAAGTAGAGTTATGGATGGTTATAAACTGCCATATGGGTGCTTGGAACTGAACCTGGGTGCTCTTAACCTCTGAACCATCTCTCTAGCCTGACAGTATTAAGTGTTAAGTGATTTCAATTTTATACAAGTGGAAATTTTGCAAGTATGATTTTAAGCACTTCACAGAGTAAGCATTGGAGGGAGGTATTCGTGGTTTATTTCCAGGGTTAAGTCACTTGCTCCTGTAGTGAGTGGCAGCCCGGTGAGCTTTTAACGTGGGGCCTGTGACTCAGTTTGTGTTCTGCATCACTGAGTTGTGTTCTTTCCTGAGAACAGCTTTCAGCTTAAGCAATATTAGCTTTTCCTTATATTGCTACTTCTGTCTATAGTATTGTCTAGGTGTGGGTTGTGAGCTTTTGGGGAGTGTTCACTAACTGGGATCTGTGATTTGTCTGTTTTCTTTCCTGTGGTTCTAGGAGTTTATTCTAGGACTTTATTTTATTTATTATTATTGTTATTATTATTATTATTATTATTATTATTATTATAATTGGATAGTGATTCTAGGTTGTTTTTCTATTGCTGAGATAAAACACTCTTGACCAAAAACAATTCAGGAAAGAAAAGGATTTGTTTTATCCCACACTTAACAGATAACAGTCAACATTTGAGAGAAGTCAAGGCAGGGACCACAAAGGAGCACTGACTACTGTCCCTTTCTTTCTTTCTTTCTTTCTTTCTTTCTTTCTTTCTTTTTCTTTTCATGGTATATAATTTGGTTTTTTGAGATAGGAATTAAAGGCATGCGCCACCAACGTCCGGTCTTTCCCCATTTTTAAAAAAATAACTTGTGTATTAGTAAGGGTTCTGTAAAGGAACAGAATCGATAGAATGAACACTTGGACTTATTAGAGAGGCTTCCAGGATGTTGTTCAAATAGTTCAGCAATGGAAAGGACAGGGATCCAGCAGTCTCGAGACTGGCTGTCTTAGCAGTCCTGGTCTGGTGCTGGAGTCCAAGGAAGTCTTCAGTTGGAATCCTGAAGAAGTAGGTTCTAGCACCAGCAAAGGATTACCTCAGCAGTGGGAGAGATGAATTTGCCTGTGGGAGTGAGGGCAAGTGGGCAGAAAGCAACGCTTCCTGTCACCAGAAAGTGTGGCCCAGGGTTAGGGTGTGTCCTCTCACCTCAGTTGATCCAGATTTAGGGTGGGTCTCACACCGCAAATAATCCAGCCAAGAAAAACCTCTCACAGGTGTGCCCAGCTGCTTGGGTTTTAGTTAATTTCAAAAACCTATTTTAAAAAAGATTATTTATTTTCCGGTGTATGGAGGTGTGCACACCTGACACAGAGCACGAGTGAGGTCAGAGGACAACTCCCTGAGAGTTGCTTCTCCCTGTTTCGTGGCTCCCTAAGATCCTACTCCAATTGTCAGGGTTTTCCGCTGAGCCATCTCTCTGTCTCTAGGCTCCTGTGCACTCTTGGCGGTCAGCGCTTGTCATCTCTTCTGCGACCAGTTCTTCATAGGATTGATGCTTGATAGATTACTCCTTTTCTCTTTCCTTTTTCATAGTTTTAGGAATCAAATTCAGAACCATGTACATGCTAGCCAGGTGCTCCACCATTGCGTCTCTGATAGGTTCTGACTTTGTTTACAACCTATCCTTCATGTGCCATCACTGGTGGGCAGAACCTCATAGCTTGTGGAATTTGTTCCATAGCTCCTCCTACCCCTTGTTGTTCAATGTATGGATTATCCCCTTTCTGAGTTCAGCTGAATGCTTCCTTTTTAAATTTTAAAATTACATCTTTGTGTGTGTGTGTGTGTGTGTGTGCGCGCGCGCACGCACGCACGCATGCATGAGTGCGAGTGAGCATATGTAAAGGTGAGAGGAAAATGTGTGGAGGTTGGTCCTTCTACCATGTGGTTGTCAGAGATTGACAGGCCACCATCAGGCTGGGTGGCAGGTGCCTTACCCACTGAGCCCTCTGGTTCAGCTGAACTCTTGTCCCTGCAAAGCTGGAGTTTGCTCCTGCTGTCATGTGTAGGGTGAACTCTTGTTCACCTCTTGAGCCAGCTCAGGCTTCAGATGGAATGAGTCTGATCTTTGTCAACTTGGGCTTTGGTTCCTCTCTCCACCAACTTGCAATCCTGGAAAGCGGTTGACCTCACACTCCATCTCTTCGTGTGAGGCTGTTAGCCTAGGGACTAGCCCTCTGGGCTGAGTTGAAGTAATGCCCAGCTTGAACTTTGGCTAGTTTTTAAGGGTGTGAAAGAAAAGATCCTACGCTATATGGGCTTTGATTTTCTGCAGCTGCAGAAGTGAAGACTTGAGAGGCTGACATTTGAAGGGAACATTTCTGCTCCTTGGTCACAAACATGGAATCTTCTATTTATTTGTCCTTTGTGGCATTCATTTGTTTCACTTATAAAGAATTTGATCCTGGCTGCTTATGGTGGGTATTGCAGCCTGGAGCTTAGTAAAGACATCAGAATATGTGTTAGATTTTACACTGTCCATAGCTGCTGCTCAGCTGCCATGACTGGAGGCTCACTGAAGGAGATGCTCACTGGGCATTAGGTTGGTGGGGATGGGGATGGGGCTGTGGTATAATAACTAAGTCTGTGGTTCATTCCTTTTTTAAAAACAAATGACCTTAAGGTCATTTATGATTTAAAAAGCCTTTTTTTTTGTTTTTGCATATTTGTCTACTCCTGTATGTTCACTACATGCATGCAGGTACCCAGAGGAACCATCAGGTCCTCTGGAACTGGTATTACAGATAGTGATGAGTTGCCCAGGAGCTGAACCGAGGTTTTGAGTTTGGGTCCTCTGCCAGAGCAGCAAGTGCTCTTAATTGTTGAGCCATCTTTCCAGCTCCATACTAAGTCTTTAAATCATATCCACTCTTCTCTCATGTTTAGGATTCTTGTCCCTGAGTCATGGAAGACAGAAGAGCTGAAAAGTCATGTGAAGAAGCATGTGAGTCACTGAAGAGGCAGGACTATGACATGGCCCTCCAGCACTGCACAGAGGCCCTGCTTTCTCTTGGCCAGCACTCCATGGCAGACGCTGCAGGGCCGTGTCCATCAGAGACAGAGCGCATCAAGATCGAGAGTCTTCTCTACAGAATTGCCTCGTTCCTGCAACTGGTGAGTGAGTGCTGTCGGTATACTGCCTGGTCCTACAGCCACATTGGGTGCCATTGGAAGACAGTTCCTGTCCTGCCTGGTCCTGCAGCTATTTAGTCCCAGATAAACACACAGAGGCTTATATTCATTATAAACGATTTGGCCGATGGCTCACGCTTCTTCTTCTTTTTTTTTTTAAAGATTTTATTTATTTATTATGTATGCAGCATTCTGCTTCCATGTATATCTGCACACCAGAAGAGGGCATCAGATCCCATTATAGATGACTGTGAGCCGCCATGTGGTTGCTGGGAATTGAACTCAGGACCTCTGGAAGAGCAGTCAGTGCTCTTAACCTCTGAGCCATCTCTCCAGCCCGGCTCACGCTTCTTATTGGCTAGCTCTCTCTTAATTATTAGCCCATTTCTATTAAACTATATATTGCCACGAGGCTAGCTTACCTGTAATGCATGTTACTCCTTCAGCGTCTACATAGTATGTCTCCCTGGCTACTCTCTGCCTTATTCTTCCCAGCCTTCTCTTAGTCTGGTAGTCCCGCCTCTATTTTGTGCCTGTTCATTGGCCAAAATAGCTTTTTTCATTAACCAATAAGAGAAACATATTCACAGTATACAAAAGGACATCCTCCATCAGCACACCACCAGTGTAGAACCACATGCTGGCCACTTCTTGTACAAATCAGCTAATTTGGGCCTGAACAGTAAAAAAAAAAAAAAAAGTACCTGGTGATTGCTGAATATTCTCAGTGGCAATAACTGTTTCTAAACTTTGAAAATTGTACTGTGACACTCACCCATTTAGTACGTATTGATTGAGTACATGCTGTCTGACAGACAGAGAGCAGTCCCTTCTTCCTGTTAGTGTCCTCTATCAGTAGAGGAATGATAGAACTAGTGGCTGCTGTAGATAACTGCACACTAGGGACAGCAAGCTAAAGGGCTCAGAAACCAGGGAGCAGTGGTGCTGGAGATGGAGTTTCTGCAGGTTGGTCAAGGTCAGCCTAAGGAGAAGAAGGAGAAAAGGGGGCTTGCCATGTGGAAATCTAGAGGAAAGAGACTCCAAGGCAGAGGCATCCCAACTGGTCAGTGTGACTGGGGTGGGGTATGTGAGGGAGAAAGGGAAAAGGTTAGGGCCAGTGGGGTCTTGTGGGACCTTCTGAGTCATTCAAAGGAGTTCTTACTCTGAGTGAGATGGGGAGCTGTTGCAACAGCTGGAGCAGAGCAGCGGTGGGATTTGGTTCACTAGGAACTGGACTGGTGTTCCAAATAGACTGTTAAAAAAGTGACAGGTGTGGTATACGCCTTTGATTCCAGCACTTGGGAGGCAGCAGGAGGAGCATCAGCATGAGTTTGAAGCCAGCCTGGTCTACAGAGAGAGTTCCAGTACAGCCAGGCAGTGTAGAGAGACCCTGTCTCAAAAAAGAAAAGAAAGTAGACTGACTACAAGGAGGAATAGTGTATGCAAGGGTCCCACTGGGGACTGTTGGAATGGTCAAGGGCTGAGGTGGCAGAGTTCTGTTCGTATTGCCAGCAACACAGAAGTCTACTACAGGAGCAGGTTTCCTGGCACCCTGAATGCAGGGAATGTGGGAGCTCTGTCATGTGAAGTGAAGCTGCTAACCCTGACCTAATTTTTTTTTTTTTTTTTGACTGAGTCCTTAGAAAAATGGGGTTTCCCTCAGCTGCAGTGAAAAGGTTGAATGTAGGGAGCAGGCTTGTGAGTTTAGTTTTTGAGCCTTCAGAGTTTGAGGTGTCATCTAGCTGTCTATCTGGAGCTGAAGAGTGAGTGCAAGGGTAGAGGGATTAAGAATTTATGGGGTGAGATGTTAGTTAGCATCCAGGGCTTGGTGCAGGTCACCAGGGAGAGGGCTAAGGACCTGGGATTATGGTGTTGAGAGGTTGGGGAGAAGGAACACGGACCATCTGAGGAATAGCGGGTAGTAAGGTGAGAGAGCCATGGTCCATGCAGCTAGGTGAAGAAAATGAAATACCATTCACTCATGTCAGTGGCTATCTCTCGAGATGTGACGGTGTGTCTGTAATAAGTGGTGCAGGTCACACTGGAGCAGTGGAGGTCACTGGTGATTGATGAGAGTAGCTTAAGGCTGTCTGACTTAAAGAGAACCTGGGAGAATTGGGGAAGGAACTCTTTCTATACTTTTCTGTCTTCAGACAGTCCCACTGTGTAGCACTGCTGGCCTGATCCTCTCTATATGGAACAGGCTGGAGTCCAACTCATCATCTTCCTGCTTCTGTCTCTTGGATGAGGGTTTACAAGTGTGCAGAGCTAACTCTGTGAAAAGTTCTGCCACATGAGGCACCAAAGAAAAGGACCAGTGGAGGAAGTGAAATCACAAGACGTGTCCCACCCCCACCCGCAGCTCTAAGACAGGGTTTCTCTGTGTAGTTCTGCATGTCTTGGGACCAGGCTGGCTCAGACTCACCGAGACTGAGTACTGGGGCTAAAGGCGTGAACCACATGGCTCAGTCAGAATGTTTTTCTTTTTTCTTTTATTTACGTATTTTTTTAGGTATCAGTGCTGTCTGCATGTATGCCAGAAGAGGGTATCAGATCTCATTACAAATGGTTGTGAGCCACCATGTGGTTGCTGGGAATTGAACTCAGGACCTCTGGATGAGCAGCCAGTGCTCTTAACCTCTGAGCCATCTCTCCAGCCCAGTCAGAATGGTTAAGTTGGGAAAACTAGCAGCATGTTTGTTTGGGAAGGAATCAGTGGAAAGGTGACCATCAAAAGGTGTGGGAGAGCAGAAGCTTGGTGGGCAATGTCCTCATGGAGACAGGTGGTCGGTTGGCTTTAGAAAGGGGCAGTGTCTCGGGGGAACAGGTGTGAGGAGAGGGTTTGACAATGGGAACTCTGTAAACCATTGGCAGAGGAAGAGGTGTTGCAGGAGGAGCTGGTGGGTGCTGTGAGAGTGGGAGGAAAAGCGCTGGGGTGTGTGATTCGTGCTGAGGAGGCAGCCCTCAGAGGTCACGGGACCACGTCATTTTACCTTGTGTCTTCTCCTTTCTTTTTGTAGAAAAACTACGGGCAAGCTGACGAAGATTGTAGGCATGGTATGTTTAAAAGATGGAACCCTTTTCTGAAGATTTTTAAAAATTACCTAATTGAAGTTTAAGGTTTGAATTTTCTTTTTTAAATTTTTATTTGCCAATTTCAAAGAAATTGTAATGTGAAAAATCCTATGTTACTGTGGTGCCTAGTGACAGATTGGGTTGATGTCTTTCCTGCTGTGACAGGCATTTACCAGGTGAGCATGTGGGCATGAATGTTGACATTCCTGTCTCCGTGTGTCCCGTCACCCTCACTCCCTCAAGGAGAATTGAGAGTGAGTCCTTTTAACATCTAGATAAATAGTTACAGTCTACAAGTGCCAGAGTATTTTCCTTAGCAGTGTGTCTGGGAAGCTCTGAAATGCTCTTTCCTGTTTGCTGTGGCTGCAAATTGAGACCAATAAGATGCACACTCTGAGTGCTCATTGTGTGGAAATCCTTTTCCTGGCTGTTGCTGCATCTCAGTAGAATGATTCCAGGAGCCTGCGGGTGGAGGGTCAGGGTGCCTTCCCATGTCCTCCTGCTGGGCTGTTTTGCACAGCTCAGTGGCCTGGATAATATAAATCATGTTTCATTTATGTAGAACTGGGGCTTGAGGCTGAGGTGTTTGACATACTAATTTTTTTTCTTTTTCTTTTCTTTTTTTGCCTCCTTACTCCTTTGTGTCAAAACATTAAAAAAGAATTAGGTATTTTTATTTTATACCTTACCAAGCCGTGCTACATACTCCTGTGGTACATGGACCATAATTTAGACATGTTTCATTAATAGTCAGTGGCCTTTCTGTGAACCTTGCAATAGAATTGCAGTGTTTTGGGTCTTAAATTAGAATTAGAGCTATCCTTGTTATCTTTGGACATTTCTAAAAGACAAAGCAGATACAAGGCCAGATAGTATAGAGGAATGTGATGGGCCCTTTCTGGAGTAATGGTGAGTTAGTGTGCTTACCTTTTATTATACTGAGAAACACAGGTGCTTATAACACATAAATCATTTTTTTTTCCCCTTTAACAAATAATTTTCAAGGGGGGCTGGAGATAGGGTTAGTGGGAAGAGGGCATGTGTTGCTCTTGCAGAGGATCTGGGTTTGATTCCCAACACCCACATGGTGGCTCAAAAACTCCTCTAACTCTAGTCCTAGGGGATCAACACCCTCTTCTGACCTCTGTGACCACCAGGCACAAACATACATATATTCAAAACACTCAACATATGTAAAATTAAATAAAATTTAAAACCCTAGCAAACAAACAGACAAACACACACAAAAGAATTTGAACATGCTTGTCACAAAGTTGTTTCCCTACCCCCGGAGCATGGCTGTCTTCCCAAGTTACTGTTAATGCAGTGGCTCCAGTCATGACAGATGTCCCTTGTGTGGCTTTTCTGTGACAGTCAAGTTATGTCTTGAACTGATGAGGCTGCAGCAGCCTCTGGTTCATTCTTTGTCCTTATAATCCACCTGATAATAAACACTCTTGCTTGTTGTTGCCTTTGTTTTCACACCTTTTCTTGAGAGTTGGCTTCCTGGGTTTAGGAGTATGAGAACTTGTGATTCTTTAAAAAATTTTTTTAATTTATTTTTATTTTATGTGCATTGATGTTTTGTCTGTATGTGTATCTGGAACTGGAGTTATAGACAGTAATGAGTTGCCATGCCGGGAATTTAACCTGGGTCCTCTGGAAGAGCAGCCAGTGCTCTTAATCACTGAGCCATCTCCCCAGCCCTGAATATGTGATTTTTTATGGACACTGTCTATAAAATGTACTCAACCTTTGCAATATGTGCAAATGTTCCTTGTATTCTCACCATGCCAAACCAAGCAGTTTCTTATCATGTATAAGAAATGGTCCCTATATGTTTAATTTTGATTTTCCTGAGTTCTTGAGAAATTGATAATCTTCCCATTTGAGAAATTGAGAAATGTGCAAACAAAGGCCCCAAAGAGTACATGACTTGTGAAAAGTCATGGAAAAGTAAACGTTGGTAAGGGAAATTTTTATTTTTGTTTTACTTAGGTTTTTTTTTTTTTTTTTTTTTTTTTTTGTTTTTTTTTTTTTTTTTTTTTTTCTCAGTGTCTCTTTACATAGCTCTGGCTGTTTTGGAACTCACTATGTAGACCAGGCTGTCCCAGATACTTAGTATGTGAGTTTACTGGTGGCCTGGTCTACATAGTGATTTCCAGCTATCCAGAGACCATGTATCAAAACAAACAAAGGAAACAAAATCCAGATTAAGGAGTTGGGGTTTTTAGCTCAGTGGTAGGCCCTTTTTGGTTCTCAGCTCCTGGGGGAAAAAAGGGGAAAAAGAAAATGAGTGATTCATATTAAGCTGGTCGGTGGTAGTGCACGCTTTTAATCCTGGCACTTGGAAGGCAGAGGCAGGAGGATTTCTGTGAGTTCAAGGCCAGCCTGGTCTACAGAAGAGTTCCAGGACAAGCTCCAGAGCTACAGAGAAACCCTGTCTGAAAAAACAAACAAACAAACAAACAAACAAACAAACAAAAAACAAACAAAAAAACAAACAAACAAACAAACAAACAAACAAACAAAAAACAAACAAAAAAACCCCTAAAACACCAAAAAAACAACAAACCCTAAGTGTATGAGACAAATCCTTCAGAACAGAAATAGTTTTAAGAAAAGTCCAACCTGGTCTACAAAGCAAGTTCCAGGACAGGCTCCAAAAGCTGAACAGAGGAACCTTGTTTCAAAAAACCAAAGCAAACTGAAACAAAACCCAGATTACTTGCCAGGATAAAAGTTTAGCCATTTTGGCGTTGAAGCTGGAGATGTGAGCCCACTGTGGTGTCAGTAGGCAGGTAGAAGCTGGTTGGAGGCTCATTCTGACCTCTGATCCTCTAATCTCAGGTCTGGGATCCTGTCCCAAGTAAATATTACAAATGAAGGAGGAAATTGTATCCACACTGGTGTTCACTCAGTGCTGTGTGTAAAAGTGGGAAGTGCTGCTTTCAGCGAGGAAGGGCTTCATTTATTATATAGTCTATGTTTCTTACTCCTTTTAGAGGACAGGAAACAACTTGGAAGTGGTCCTTTTGATTTTTTCACCCTGAGACAGGGTTTCTCTGTTTAGTTCTGGAACTCCTTCTGCAGACCATGCTGGCCTTGAACTCAGAAATCTGCCTGCTTCTGCCTCCCAAGAGCTAGAATTACAGGCATGGGCCACCACCGTCTGTTGGAAGTAGTCTTTTTATATATGCATGTGAGTGAGCATTTTCATGGAGGCAAGAGGTTGATGTTGGGTGTCTTCTCTGTTTTTCTCTAATTTTTCTTATTTTGGGGACGTGGTATTTTACTGAATCTGGAGCTCATTGATTGGCAAGGCTGGTGGCCAGTAGGCTCTTCAAATACTGTCTTTGCTTCCCCGTCTCTCTAGCATTGGGGTTGCAGACTTGCACTGCTGTGCCCAGCTTTTACATGGATGTTGGCATCTGAACTCAGGTCCTCATGCCTGTGTAACAAAGTCTACCCATTGAACTATCTTCCTAGCCCCTATTTATAAAATTTGTACAGAAGCACCTTTGCAAAGTTGATCATTTCAGTAGATATTAGAAAATATTGGCTAAAATTACTCATGTACTGTAGAATTTTGACTTTATATATATATTTTCTGGTTCTCAGTAATGTTACGTTTGTGTAAGATATGTTTGTATGGTTAAAAAGTCAGGTAACTAACAAGCAGGAGGAATCTCTTGCTGGGTTCCTGTTAATCTGTTACCTTGCATAGTTATACTGAGATGCTCTGAGGCTAGGTCTGGAGAGCTCCATTGGAAGTGCCCCATTCCAATACCTTCCTGTTTGCATTTTACATAGTGTGACACTCTTCTGTTGTTGGGTTATTATATTGCAACTTGTATGTGTGTGTCATTTTTAAAATAAACAGTTAACTAACCATTAGTACATTGAATTTGATACATTATGTTGTATAGAATACCTTGCCAGCAGTTATTGCAACAAACATGTGACAGTAACCTTCAAAATTTAATTCCTACTTTCTTGAGAAATATCACAGAATATTTTTTATTTTTGTGATAGTCTCGGACTGGCCTAGAACTCCCTATATAGACGGACTCTAAATTTTTTTTTATATATTTATTTTGTTATCTGCAACTATGTATGTCTTGATCCCTGTTCTATTGCTGTGAAGAGACACTGTAACCAAAGCACCTCTCATAAAAGAAAGTGTTTAATTGCAGGCTTGCTTGCAGTTCCAGAGGTTTAGTTGATGATCATAGTGAGAAGCGTGGTGGCAGGCCGGCAGAAATGGTGCTGAGAAGGAGCTGAGAGCTACAGTCTGAGAGATTCTGGGCTTGTCATGGGTTTTTGAAATCTCAACGCCCACCCCCCAGTGACACACTTCCTCCTACAAGGCCACACTTCTAACCCTTTCAAATAGTGCTGCTCCCATGGTAACCTAGCATTCAAATCTATGAGCCTATGCGGGCCATTCTTATTCCAACCACCACAATGTGTCTGTGTCTGGGTGTTACTTGAATGCAGGTGTTCATAGAGGCTAGAGGTGCTGCCTGATGTGGGTGTTGGGAGCAGAACTTGGGTCCTCTACAAGAGCAGCCAGTTAAGAGCAAGTAATCACCCTGGCTGTCTGGAGTTCTTTGTAGACCATGCTAGCATCAACTCAGAGAGATCCTCCTGTTTCTGCCTCCTGAGTGCTGGGATTAAAGCGCCTGACCAAGAGCAAGTATTCCTAACCACTGCACCATTTCCCTGAACTGGAGCTTGGTGTTTGGCTAATCTGACCAGCTGCTGAGCTATTTACTGGGATCTGTCTGTCTTCATCCTCAACAGTAGGGTTACTGGCTTGTGCGGCCATGCCTGGCTTTTATGTGGGTGCTGGGGATCCAAACGCAGATCCTCTTACTTTCACAACAAGTGTTCTTACCTTCTGAGGTACTTCTCCAGCCATCTTTTTTTTTTTTTTCCCCCGAGATAGGGTTTCTCTGTGGCTTTGGAGGCTGTCCTGG